GGCATAGAGGAGAAACAATAATGTATAGTATGTGGAAAATAATGTGTTTTTTTAACTTTAAACCGCATAAACACATTTCATTACACCAAATACACAAAATAATGTTCTTTTTAGCAGCATCATATGACCCCTTTAACGAGTACCTTACTATTAATAAGCAGCCAATTAAGAGGTTATTGAGGCAAAAGGCGTAGTTAATGGTTTTTTTTTTAATGGTGAGAATTGCACCTTAAAATAAAGTGACCAAAAAAACATTATTATTATTACTTATTGTGTTAACTTACTGTACTTATGTCCGCGTTTATTATTTAAATTAAGATCTTTGAGTTTCTGTGTGTTCATGAAATGCTGATAGTTGTATAAAATTTGTAAAATTGTGTTGAAGAGAACTGTCAGAGCAGCTCTGGAGATGAAGTACAGGTAGCATCTCGTATAGCGAGACGGCAGGTGCCAAAACACTGAGCTTGATGTGCGCACAACCATGGTGCTCATTCACGTGTGACCCTGGACCACAAAACCAGTCATAAGGGTCAATTTTTCGAAATGCTGACTAAATAAGCTTTCCATTGATGTACGGTTTGTTAGGATAGGACGATATTTGGCCGAGATACAACTATTTGAACATCTGGAATCTGAGGGTGCAAAAACAACAAAATACTGAGAAAATGGCCTTTAAAATTGTCCAAATGAAGTTCTTGGCAATGCATATTACTAATCAAAAATTAAGTGTGAATATATTTACAGTAGGAAATTTACAAAACATCTTCATGGAACATGATCTTTACTTAATATCCTAATGAGTTTTGGCATAAAAAAAAATCAATAATTTTGACCCATACAAATGTATTTTGGGCTATTGCTACAAATATACCCCAGCGACTTGAGACTGGTTTTGTGGTCCAGGGTCACATATGGCTATGCAGATTTCATATTTAAGTAGCGGTGTTATTTTTATTTAAAGTACAGTAGTCTATCTCTTGATTTGATTCTCCAAATTATACATAATATAAATTATGTATTATTCAAAATCTGTGACTGTGCTACAGTGTAAATGGCATAAAGGCTGGAATCTGTGTGTTTTCTGTATTGCTTAAATCGCAGGGTCCTATGAGTGACCAAACAAGTTGAGCAAACATGTTTAAAAAAAAAAAGTGCATGATGTCACTTGATTATCATATGAGGCTACACTCAATTATCCGGCTTTTTTTTCCTGTAAAAGTGGTTATATGTAATGTGCCTGGCTTCTGGTGTCATTGGCTTCCAGTTGTTTTTAGCTGTACAAAACCGCTGGTTATGCTGCTTAAAAATGCAAAGTGGTATTTTTTTGAACCATATTCTTGGAATGTTTTGTCTTGATTGTAAAACACTGGTTTGTAGTGCAATACGTATCACGATACAGGGGTTGCGATACGATATGTTGCGATATATTGCGATACTGTAAGCAAGACGATATATTTGGATATTTCTTATTTTAGGAAAAGGAGAATAGGATCTAATTTGAGGAAAACTGTCATTTAGAACACACCACCATATGCAAACCTTAGCAAAAAAAAACATCCATTTACATACTTGACATCCGGAGCTCATTGACAAATATCTTGTATCGTAAGATGCGCTCCCTTTTTCACAGAGTGTGCGTGATGGCGAAATCGAAAGTGAACGGCGTGAGCGCTCATTCAAAAGAGATTGAAATACTCCCTATTGATAGGCGAAAATTCTATGCAATATTAGAATTTTTGCGGGAGCGGGCGGGATTGGATAAACCTTGCAGGAGCGGAACACACACGTTGTCACCGTTTAAGTTCAGAGGTAAGAAGACCGCTATCTAGCGGTCGGGATATAAACCCAAAACGAAACGACAGCCATGAATATCGTATACATTTTTTCATTGTATTTTTATATTGATATTGCGTTTTTGAGAATCGATACAGTATCGCCAAACAAAATATCGTAATACTCACGTGTATCGATATTTTCTTACACCCCTAGCATACACTGTGATTTATGCACTTTGATATCTGTAATGTTATTTTCCTATAGCAGCTAACGAATTGGAAGTCAGGTCCATTTACGGAAAACCGTTTACTTGCACATGGCAAAATAAGGTGGATAAAAAGATTAGGGCGGATGGATTATTGTGGCACAATAAGCATATCCTGTTACAGTCACAATGAAATTGCACAAACAGACACCGTACCATCCCTGACCTTTAGCGACGGGACAATCCCACAGCTGACTCACAGGGACAAAGGCACCGTCCACACCCAGCGTTGACACAACGGTCTCTGTAATCCATCCGCAAGCAAACAGCGGGATCGGAAGCCAATACGCTTTGCCACACCTTTTAAACAACGGGGCAAAAAAGTTGTTTACAAACTGGAGCAGCTAGAGCGTTGTAATACCTCACAGAGATCATGAATTTGTTTACAGTCAAGTTGCGGTTGATGGCTTTTAAGATGGGCCGTGCACCTTTAAAAAGTCATTACCACGTACGTACGTATGACAGCGATTTGCTGGCATAGAAACTCCTTAATGGATGGAGGTCATGAAGGTGTATGTGAAACATTATAGGAAAGGATGTGAACATTTTCCATTTGACAAACCAAATGGGTTCCCCGTTTGCTTGCATGATGTGATATTAGGTGGCCGCTTGGAGAAAAGAGGCCACCCCAAATATGAGTAAAAGTACCGTTTGTTATGAAAAGCTCAAAGTGAAAGATTCATGTATTTATGTTTTTTTATTTGATTTGATTTTATTTATTTTTTGCACAGGGGTGAAAGGAGTAGTGATGGACTCATACGGGAAGCCTGTCCAAAACGCTGTGGTGGAGGTAGCGGGGAGAAGAAACGTTTGTCCCTTCAGGACGGATCGTAACGGGGAATACTACAGACTGCTGCTGCCCGGAAACTACACCATCAAAGTAAGATGATATGGAAGCATATAGGTAGCGAAATTCCATTTAAAATGCAATATGCAAAATGGCAATGCAATATTCAAAATGGCAACGCAATATTCAAAATGGCATTGTATTTCTGTATTTAAATGTACATTTTCCATTACCCGTACGTACAAAGTTTGTTGCAAAAGTAAAATGAATTAAATTATATAATTTACGTTTGCCATTTCCAACAGTAGTCTTAATATGTAAATCGCATGCAAATTTGAACGCTTTATAAGTTGCGAAATTAAAATGAAAATGTATAACACAAATTGATTTGATATGTGTAACATGTCCAAGCAGAAATGGTAGCCAAATGATCATTTAAATGCTATTTGTCCTAAATGCATTTAGACTAACAGTTAGAACACTTAGGATTGCATTTTCATCTTGACGCCGTGGGATATTTGTAGCAAAATTCCATTTGAAAATGCATTCCGAGCTGACCACGCCCACCCTCCGTCAATCATTGCTTTGAGGCAGGGATTGGCGGAAGCGTGTTACGTTTGGATCGTTTGAAACATGGCGGCTGGAGATCTGATGAGATCGTTGAATTCACCGGCAGATGAAGTGGAGCCGTGAACAGAGAAATTTATGAAGCGTATTCCATGCTAAAATCAAACGTTCGAACGACCGACCGATCGAACGTCTAACCGAACGTCTTGAGCTTTGAGCGTCTTACACTGCGGGTGACCCACGTGACGCCAGCGTCTTGAAATTAGCTGGAAAGTGTTATAACATAAGCAAACATAATTAAAATTATTGATGTACTTTTCCATCAAAGGCAGGGTTTCTGCGGGGCATTGGAAATCATTACAATTCATTAAATGACGTTTAATAACAGTCATTCAGTTTTTTGGTATAATTAATTTAAATTATTGTGTTTAATGGACACATTTATAGCAGAACCTCAAGTAAACTACATGTTATTTTGTGTAGTCATATACAGGTGGGAGCTTTTTCAATTTATTACTCTGAACGACTTATTAGCCTACAACACCTTTAAAGAGTTATTCAGGGAAGTACAGCAGGATGCAGGAAATGGTTGTTGAGTATTGTTTTAGGTATAAAATATCATTATTGTAGTGCTTGTAATGTCCATTTATAGTCTTTACACAGCAGCTATATTAAGCAGCACAATCGTTTCTGACGTTGACAATACATTGAAGGATCATGTGACACAGAAGACTGGAGTAATGATGCTGAAAATTCAGCTTTGCATCACAGGAATAAATTTAAACTATATTAAAATAGAAAACCATTATTTTAAATTGTAATGATATTTCACAATATTAACCAGACCCCGCCCCCTTCAAAAAAAACCTTATATAAATATGATTCACCTATTTTTGTCGTGTCCTCGTTATCATTTGAGAGAACCTATTTCTAATATAAGCTTATTTGAAGCTTCATGATCAGTGAATTATGTGTACCAAACAAGCAAAGAAGAATTAAATATATAGGGGTGTGCGATATAGACAAAAATGATATCTCGATATTAGAAGCTGCATCTGAAGAGGCATTTAGATGCATTTACACACTGTTTAATGCAGGACACAAATGCTTTTACCTGCAGTTACAAATGCAGAAATAATGTTTTGATATTTTAATCGTAAAACGTTGAATAGCCTACTGATATTTGAATTTTTTTTTTTTTTTTTAAATGAAAAGGTAATTAAAAACTATTTTATGCAGGCCTATACAATTTAATAATAGCCTAGGATATATAATAAAGTTTTGTTTCAAATGGTTGAAGAACAGGCTACTAGCCTGTATAATTTACGTAATAGGTGAAATTATGTATGGAAACGGCTCAAGGGCAATTTTTTCTTTGCAATACACCAAAACTTTTGCAACAATTCGTTTTTTTAGGGATGATTTCATCACGCACAGCATTTTATCGGTAAAAGGCCAGTTGGATGGAAACGGGCTGTAGACAGCAATTTTTTTTATGCATATTCTCTTTATCGATAACAAAAAACTGCAAATAACGCAAAAACTGGATGGAAACTTATGTTGCTCAGAGACGCAAAACAGCGCTGTGGCTCTGTTTGGAATTAGCTATTTTTTATTGGCGAAATAGAGCAAAAATAGGGCATGAATAAGTGTATGGAAAGTGCTGGAAACCCTTGCAGCAGACGTCACGTTCATTGAGACGAGTGCGTGTTGCAACGTCATATTAAAGATCCCGTCCGAACGCCATAGGAATACGCTTCATCAGTTTCTCAGTTCACGCTCCACTTCATCTGCCAGTGAATTGAACGATCTCATCAGATCTCCAGCCGCCATGTTTCAAACGATCCAAACGTAACCAATAGTATCCAGCTGCAGACCCGCGGCACCAGCAGTTTCAGAACCGCAAGTGAGGGGCGGAGCTTACATTTTTTTAACAGAGTAGCGCCACCTTACGGTTTTTAAGGGGTAATTTGCTTTTATTAAACACTATACTTAAGCATTTTATAAACATTAATCTTGTGTAATTTAGTTGTAGACCTATACAGTTATTAGTTTCATTGTATCATGCGAGTAATTTCCTGTTTGTGATATTAAAAACTAGACTACTCACCATGCTCTCTCGTTGTCAATAACTCCGCCCCTCACTTCCGGTTCTGTGGCTGCGGTTCTATGGCTGCGGTTCTGAAACTGCTGGTGCTGCGGGTCTGCAGCTGGATATATCTCAACGTAACACGCTTCCGCCAATCCCTGCCTCGAAGCAATGATTGACGGAGGGTGGGCGTGGTCAGCTCGGAATGCATTTTCAAAGCCGCACTGAATGTTGCTACAAATATCCCACGGCGTCATGATGAAAATGCAATCCTAAGTGTTGTAACTGTTAGTCTAAATCCATTTAGGACAAATAGCATTTAAATGATCATTTGGCTACCATTTCTGCTTGAACATGTTACACATATCAAATCATTTTGTGTTCTACATGTTCATTTTCATTGGGCAACTTATAAAGCATTCAAATTTGCACGCAATTTACATATTAAGACTACTGTTGGAAATGTAAATTATAGAATGTAATTTTCATTTTCCTTTTGCAACAAACTTTGCACGTATGGGTAATGGAAAATGTACATTTAAATACATTGCCATTTTGCATATTGCATTTGAAATGGAATTTCGCTACCTATATGCTTCCATAAGATCAGGCCTTCTTGTAGGGAATTTCATAGCTGCTCAAAGTGTTAAGGAGTCATCGGTTTCAACAACCGTATCACAAAACGACTGTATATTTAGGAAAAGAGTGATTAGTACTTGGCCTAGTTGAACCGTAAGTGTAGGCCGCCTTCTCTGAGCACCTCGTGTAAGTGGGCCGTTTTCACATTCCTCAGTCCAGGTAATACGGTTCATTGAGGAGAAATGAATTGTGTTTTAAGTGTACATTTGGGGCCAAAGGCTCCATTCCCTGAGACTAAATAAGAGTTTTAGATGGTAAAAGTGATCATCAGTTAAAAGGAACCTTACAGGGACAAAGGCACCGTCCACACCCAGCGTTGACGCAACAGTCAGCCTTATCCAGAGTAAGGCACGAATAAATAAAGCAACAGAAACATTATCATAAAGTAGTATGAGAATGTATGTGTAAGAAGATTGTATTTTTTTTTTCAGAGGTGGGTAGTAACGAGTTAATTTACTCGAGTAAATATTTCAGAATCAGAATCAGAATCAGAATGAGCTTTATTGCCAGGTATGTTTACACACATACGAGGAATTTGTTTTCGTGACAGAAGCTTCCACAGTGTAACAGAATGACAGTGACAGAACAAAAAACACAGATAATAAAAAATAGTAAATAAGGAATAAAAATATATAAATCGACAATTGTATGTGCAGGTATATTACAATAGACAGTTTTGTATGTACAGGTACTGTATATTATGTGCAAATTTGAGGTGTAGACCGAGTATGAGCGTTAGATAAATGTATGTGTACGAGTGTATAAATAGTGTGTGTTCCACAGTTATTGTTAAGTGTTCATGAGATGGATTGCCTGAGGGAAGAAACTGGTCCTGTGTCTGGCCGTTCTGGTGCTCAGAGCTCTGTAGCGTCGACCAGATGGCAAATTTTAATGGTTTTTCTCTGTTATTCTCATCATAAGTAGGTAGATGCATTAGTATCATTCACGCATTATAAGCCAGACTATGCTCAATTTTATGTAGTATACTAAGGTTGAAAAACAAACAATAAAACCATGCTAATATGTGAAATAAAAGGATCATTCTATGATAAGTGCTTTTATGAAATGCATAACAGAAAATTTTATTTTTTTCTGAATAAATAAAAGAAATTGCACATTACCAAAGCTGCTCGTGGAACAGAGTGATATGCATTCTTTATTGTGGCGTAACGGTGATCCAATATATTACCGTCTCTGGTGGGACACGTGATGTGCTGTCTGCATTTTGGCAGTTCACGGGAGAGATTGGCTTTATTAAAGTCCCCGAGAATGACTGAAACAGAGTCCGGGTGTTGTTGTTCTGTCTCTGTGATGTGATCAGCGAGTTTCTGTAAAGCGGAGCTCACGTGTACTGCCGAATGTCCAGCAATTCGTCTCTGGTGAAACTGATTGCAGGGATATAACTAAAGACAGGACGAACTAACACAAACAGAAAAACAAGTGCGGAGCACGCCACGGAGGCAGCCATCGGCGTCGGCGCCATCTTTCGATCTACAAGTCCTCTTACTCGAGTACAGTTTTTGGGTACTCTACCCACCTCTGTGATTTTTGGGCTTGATTTTTGCGTAGCGTCTTTGCAGCATCAGTGATCTGACCCACCGCACAAGGATGCACCTCCTCTCTCAGGTTAATTAGAGAGGAGACACAATTGTCCTAGTTTTGGTTCTCTAACATGAACAATAAACTGATGTCAAAGAATGTAGTTTATGAGTAATGCAATCAAAGTACATGGGTAAAAATGTGTCGAGCGTTAAAGAGAAGTCCGCGATACCTTAAATTACAGCCGTAGCTGTGTTTTTGGGAAGAAAAAACAGGGAACCATAAAAGTGGACACCGAGAAAGAAATTCTTGAGCGCCGTTTAATGGTGTGAAGATTTTTTTCAACACGGCATTTCTAAACATTAGACTTTATTTAGGAAGCTTGGAGTGTTTGTAATACAAATAGAAACAAAACGATAAACAAGAAGAAAAAAAGTGTACAGGCCAAAATTATTAGCCCTCTGATGTTAGTAGTCGATGGTTTATCCCTTGTTCTCGATGACAGCCTCGAGTCGTGTTATGTATGGGATACTGTCATTCTCCATAGTGCCTGTAGGTGGCACCACCACTTTAGTAATTATTAGTAGTGGTGTTCCTTTAAAGAAAGCAAGTGAAGAAGTTAAGTACCCCCGCGTGTGGCTGTGGTTTGTTGTAGTTGTCAAGTTTGAGGCATGTCCGCTAAATACTCGCAGTCCATTCTTCCTTGGCAAATCTCTCAAGCTCCTCCAGATTTGTTGGTCTCCTGGCACGGACTCTGGTCTTCAGTGAGCCCTACAGATGTTCTATTGGATTGAAGGACGTTCACTTGAAGCGAGGTGTGCTTTGGGTCGTCATCGGGCCGGAAGTCAAAATGACGTTTTGCCGCAGATCGCCTGAGGTTGTCTGTCGAAGTCTTGTCGTAGTGTTCCTTTTTCACGATTCCTTTGACCGTGACGAGAAACGCACGGAAACATCCCCATAACATTATACCCCCACCGCCACGTTTCACTGTGGGAACGGTGTTCTTTGGGTTGAGAGCCTCTCCAAAGATAGGCAACACGTCTATGGCCAAAGAGCTGTGGTTTTGTCTCATCTGACCAAAGGACAAGTTTCCAGTATGCGTAATCTTTTGTTGTCCTTGAAACTTGAGTGTGGCTTGGAGGTGTCTCTTCTTCAGAAGTGTTTTTTTCTTGGTCCGCAACCTCGCAGTCCATTGTTGTGTGGGGGCGTCGCCCTCTACTGAGCATCTTTGTTGAGACATCAGTCCCAGACTTGGCTAAATGATTACTGCGGTCAAGCCAGCCGCGCTTTGAAAATACACGGTCAAGCCAGCCACACTTTTTTTTTTGTGCGTCTTGCGCGTGTAATTGTGCACTTACAGTACTTACTCTCGGGTGCTGAGAGCAGTCAAAATGCATGTAAAGAAGCGGTCGTACCGAAGTTTCCTTAATAATTTGCTTATTTTAACGGTTCTTTTTAGTTTGTAAATACATGATTTTTGTACATAAACGTTTGTATTGTACATAAATTATTATAAATAATGTATTGATGTTTATAAATGTTAATATTAATGTTTTATATTCATAGTTTAGTGCGTGTGTGTGTGTAACAACAAAATGCCTCCTTGCACTTGCACCGTGTCCCATTTTCCAACACTCATAAAAAGTGTCCTTATAGGTTAGCTCATTCTTTCAATCGATATGTATTCAGAGTGAGCCTGACTATCACCGTCTTCATTTGCGAGGCCTTTTACTGTATAGTTTTGGAGAAAACTAAAAGCAAAATCACCCCAAACAGCATTGTTGCACTTGGATTATTTGCGTATATTCAAACGGTCATAAAAAGTGTTCCTTTATAGTTTAGCTCATTCTTTCAATCGATATGTATTCAGAGTGACCCTGACTATGACCGTATTAACTGTCCAATATTTGTACCGTGTGGTTTTGGAGAACATTAATGGCAAATTCACTCAATAGCAGTTGCACCATTGGCCATTTTCAAACACTCATAAAAATTTTTCCTTTTATAGGTTTGCTCATTCTTTCAATGTATTCCTTTTCACAGTGACCCCCGAGTACTGTATTTGAGTGTTTGAGAAAATGAAAGGCAAATTCACCCCAAGCATCTAAGTGAATAAGCACTTTGACATCATGTCCCATTTTGAAACCCTTATAAAAATGTTTCCTTTACGGTCACCCTGACTATTGCTGTATTGATGTGACATTTTTTTGACTTTATGGTTTAGAAGAAAATGAATGGCAAAATCACTTGAAAAAACTAAGTGCATTCTACCCGTTGCGCCATTACCCATTTTCTCAAATGATTCATTTTCATGTCATGTTACTGGGAAACGCAAACTCGCTCCAAAAATGTTTTTATACAGTGTATCGTTGCAGTCGTGTCCCATTTTGTAACATCAAGTTTCCGTTTTTGAAGGAATTATTGCGCAAACGTACCACGCTTATTTACCATATCAAAGTGACTCTTATTTTCAATATAGTATTGGACAAAATTGCTGGGAAATACTGTCCTGACGTCATATCGTCATGTTACACTCTGGCAAAAAGGAGCGAAGGAGACGCAGGAGAATATTTTGGAACACGGAATTGAATTTGAACACACGGGGAACTTTGGAGACACGGCAACACGACATTTAACAGCAGACAAAGAAACACCGAATGGGACTCGCTATAAATACACAGACACCAGTGGGACACACCCGGGAGCAAATGAACTAATTAAAGAAACGCAGCTGGAAACAAATTCGTAGAGCGAGGACAGGAACGGGAAGGAGCAAATAAGGGCGAACGGGAACACACACACGTGACGCATACACTCAACCTCTTGTTCCATTTGAATTGTTAGCGTCACATTGAATTAAGTGAAAATGTTCATTTGAACCTTAGGAACCGATTATGTTCATCGCCCCTTTGAGATGATGGATCTAAATGAAAATCCAGATACAACAAGACACCGATCGGGTAAGGACAGTTGACAACACAAAGAAAAAATAATATAGTATCGGTGCCGTTGTTTGAAAATGATCACACTTTTATTGTAATTTGACTTCACTGTGTTTTTTTTCCTAAATATGAGACATTTTGTAGAAATACATGCAATTTATATATATTATAAATGCATTGATTTATTTTGCCTTTTGTTATTTCAGAAAACAAGTTTGTGCATCTTAAGAAATAACGGCGCTTTGGGCATGCTGTTGTACGTCCCATCAGACCGCACAACAGTGCCTACTGTGGCTCGAACACCTGTGAACGTGTATCGACTGTCTTGTGCGCGTACACGTGAAATCACGTCGTCATATTAGGCTTTTGTTTAATTGCATAAAAAAAGTACATATTTGCATTTGTATCGGGGATTATGTTGGTTCCACATAATGCGTGTTATGACAACTTATTTTAGTCTCAATAAAAGTGTTGTTTAAATTCCATTAGGTTGTATTGCGGTCAATCAATTAATAGCCTACTGTTATTTGAAGGTGTCATTGAGTGTCGAAAGGTGCCTAATAAAATGCGTTATTATTATTATCATCATCATGATGGTGAAATTATTATAGGAGTAAGCTGCAGCAGAGGCTGTGGCGGAATGACACCGAGGAGTTCTGCAGAGGCACGAGGACTATAATTGGTTACAAGCTTTCTGTACGACCAAAAACGAATACAAATAAAGGAAAGGAAAGCAAAGCAACCATTTTTGACGCTGAAATAATAATAGACCAATGATAATAATAGCAAATAATGTTTGTTCTACAATACTATGCGTTTTTGAACTCCAAAGATAAGGCATATGTTCCAAATTGGGGCATTTAACAGGATGCGAGAGCTAAATTAGTTTAGCCGGGTCGTATTTTAAATGGCATGAAATGGACGTTTGTAGACTTATTTTTGTGCTCTGAGTTACTTGGTATCGTTTGAAAATGAATACAGTCCAGGGACACTGTGAACGGGAATCAATCGAAAGAACGAGCCAACCTATAAAGGAAATATTTGTATGCGTGTTTGAAAATGGAACGTGACGTAAAAGTGCAAAGGTGCACATGGATACTTGGGGTGAATTTGCCATTGATTTTCTCCCAAAGCACACAGTAAAAATATTTGAAAATTAATGCAGTAATAGTCATGGTCACTGTGAACGGGAATCAACTGAAAGAACGAGGCAACCTATAAAGGAAAGATTTGTATGAGTGTTTGAATATAGGACATAACGTAAGAGTGCTTATGCACTTTGACACTTGGGGTGAATTTGCCTTTAATTTTGTCCAAAACCGCACCGTAAAAAGAGTTGAATATTAATACAGTGATAGTGTGGGTCACTGTGAATACATATGAATGAACAGAATGAGCTAACCTGTAACGGAACACTTTTTATGAGTGTTGGAGAATCGGACCCGGTGCAAGTGCCAGGATGCATTTTGTTGTTTGGGGTGATTTTGCTTTTTAGTTTTCTCCAAAACTATACAGTGAAATGGCTTGAAAATGAAGACGGCGATAGTCAGGGTCACTCTGAATACATATGAATTGAAAGAATGAGCTAACCTTTAGAGGAACACTTTTTATGAGTGTTGGAATATTGGACACGGTGGAAGTGCTAGGACGCATTTTGTTATACACGCGCACACATAAAAAAAAACAATGAATATAAAACATTAATAAATGATAATAATTAATGTACAATACAAAGTAAAAAAAGCAAATTGTAAAGGAAACGTCGGTACGACCGCTTCTTTACATGCATTTTGAGTGCTCTCAGCACCCGTACCGTAAGTGCACAATGATAAATGATTCACTAGTGTCTCGGCAGTTGTTCTCGGGCGTTTAGAAAGTTCTCTCGCTAGTTTTCTTTCCAAGTTTTGCAAGATACTAATCCTCAGCTTACTGTGCAATTGAAAGGCTTAAGAGGATTAATTAGGTTAATTAGGCAAGTCATTGGACAACAGTGGTTTGTCGCGTAGCCAACGAAACGGATCATTTCTCGAGGGGGCTGATGATATTGACCTTAGCGCACAAGTCAGGTCCATATATATTTGGACACTGACACAACTGTCCTAATTTTGGCTCTGTACGCCAACAGAATAGAATGAAAATGAAACCAAGACGATGAAATTGAAGAGCAGACTTGAAGCTTTAATGGGAGGGGCTGAACAAATATATATAGGGTAAACGTACCCATTAAGCACACTTCCATATTTGAGCTCAGATTAGAAAAAGAAAAAAGACCGTATCGTCATACTTGATGTCTTAACCAATAGATGCGTTTGTTACTACATGGCTCCTGTAATTTCAAGTATATGGGTCTCCATGTGTTGTCACTGTGTGGCGGCCATTTTGAAAGCTGTCTGAAAAGTTTCACCAAAAGAGGAGCCCTTTAAATGTGCATTATTTGGATGTTGAAGCATTTATTCAGGCTAAGTTGAAGTACTTGGTGTAAAAGGAAGAGATTCATGTTTAGACTTTTGCATATTCTAACGTGGAAGTTGGATGTGGGTAATAATTGCAGTTAGATCCAAAAGATAGTTTTGGCAACATAGCGCAGACGCTACAGGACACAGTTAGCCGACTAGCTGTATGAGATGGTGCGCTACACTAGAACTAGACGGGCATTACCGGCTTGTACTTTTACATCCATAATGTTTGATCCTGCCGATTTCATATGATTGTAAGGTGAGCTTAAAGGGTACTGTAAAAATCACACGGCGTGACTTGAATGAGAGAAAGTATAATGGAATAGATATTGTTAATAGTCGTTCATAATAAAATACGTATGAACGTAATACGTGACCTAGATTATTGATGTAGCCAAATGTTGTCACTGCTCCAATGAAGGTCGGTGTGCTCTCTTTAAGCTCGTTCACATTGTAAATACTTGACAAACAGACCTTACGCGAAAGTGACAAGCATCAGTTTATATGTAAGTGAATCTGTTTTCTATGGAATGGGTCAAGTGAAATGTGCAGACCGGCTGTGACCTTTGGCAACTAGCATCAACTCGTCCAGACACGGTGTATTCCAGCCTTAATAGACTATAGATATGGTGACATCCATTTAATAAGAGGCTTCACGATGAGGCTAGTTTCTGCGTTCATCCCCATGAATGAAATGTGTTATTGGTTTGTTTTTGAATGCGTGTTACTTGAGTGTGGAGTAGTGTGGCGATGTGCTAAAACGACAGATCATTACGAATATACAAGTGATGAAAAGGAACGCTTTGTTGCTCGATTGTAGTGTTGTGGTTTTCTTTGTGATTGACTTTGTACCTTCCAGAAATAGGAGTCAATTATTGTGGAAAAGGTTGTTTAAAAGAAACCAGAAATGTGAATAAAACATGATGTTGAGCTTCATGGGAGCAGGGGCGTAGCCATTAAGCACAGGTAGACTTGTAGCATTGAATGATGTATATCTTAATTGGAATGCTTGTGTCATTTGAAATGAAATGGAATGATTTTGTGAACAAGGTTTTGTACTGACACCAATACGGCGTGCAGTAAAACTGTGTCAATGTAGATTTGGTGAGAAAAAGCTTAGGAATGACAAGCCGTTTTATACACGGGGCTCAAGCGTAATTGGACCAGGAAAGGTAATAAGTAAACTGTTCATATGTTGCGGAGAATCCTTTGCAGGCAAACGACTGGCTCAAGTGTGGAAAATCACGGACACGTCCAGAGACTCGTTTTCCTACTTTGATGCTTTGGCAGACCTTTACTGCAACTGACTTGAGTTGTTGTTGTGTTCCTACCTTTAGTTTTGTCTTTAGAAAGTGAAATGCGTGCTCGGTGGGGTTGCGTTTGCCGTACGGTGTGTCGTCCAATCGGCTTTGCTGCATTTGACTGACCGTGGGCAGAGAGAGATCCCTATACATTTGAGAATTCATCTGGCTGGCTCTGTGACGTCACTGGAAGCCACGCAGGCTCATCGTGATGTGATGTGATGGGGTTGGATGTGATGTGATGGGGTTGAATGGGCTTTTTTCTTTTCCCAAACCCAAACTAGAATAAACCTAAGTAATTAATGTAAACCATGTGTATATATAGTCCCTTACCTGTTTTTAGTGTAAAAGTGTGGCACAGTTTGCAGTGTTACCTTTGGAATGCTCACTTAGGTGGTTGTGATAAAGTATGACGATATGTCATTGAATAAAACCATGAATTGCTTTGATTCAATTACATACCTCATCACAACCACCTAAGTGAGCATTCCACAAACGTAACACTGCAAACTGTACAGGTCAAAACGTGCCACACTTTTACACTAAAAACAGGTAAGGGACTATATATACACATGGTTTCATGTTGTGGATCGTGATGTGATGTGATGTGATGTGATGGGGTTGAATGGGCTTTTTTCTTTTCCCAAACCCAAACTAGAATAAACCTAAGTAATTAATGTAAACCATGTGTATATATAGTCCCTTACCTGTTTTTAGTGTAAAAGTGTGGCACGTTTTGACCTGTACAGTTTGCAGTGTTACGTTTGTGGAATGCTCACTTAGGTGGTTGTGATGAGGTATGTAATTGAATCAAAGCAATTCATGGTTTTATTCAATGACATATCGTCATACTTTATCACAACCACCTAAGTGAGCATTCCACAAACATAACACTGCAAACTGTGCCACACTTTTACACTAAAAACAGGTAAGGGACTATATATACACATGGTTTACATTAATTACTTAGGTTTATTCTAGTTTGGGGGGGGAATAAACTACTTTTCTGTATGGCATTACAAGGTGAAACGGCCATTGAAGGGTTTTGGGATACATACATATTTTTCTCACAACACCACCCTCTGTCTTCACGTGTCCAAAAACAAAACAGCCAATTGCCACATACAGGAAACACTGTGTAACAGAGATACTTACAACAATATACATGTCCCACTATTCATGCAATAATTTGCGTGATTGATTGTGTAGGTGCACTATCAATAGTGCACCTACACGGCTTCAATTACATCTCTGTTGCTTCCTATCTCCAGGTGACATACCCAGGACACAAAACCCTCACCCACACCATTCGAGTGCCGTATGGTCCCGATGCATTCTCTGCACTTACACACAACGTTCTCCTGCAACACAGTGACTACAGCTCAACAGCAACACAACTACCCCAGTCCTGCACCACCCCAGATCTGGGAATCCAGGAGAGCGACAGTGCCACCCTGCTGCCGCCCAGTGTGTTCACTGCACTTACCTTATTCCTCCTCCAAAGACTGCTGATGCTGTCCTGACAGAGCAAACACTCTTAAACATTAAGGACAAACTCATTTTTGCTTTTATTGCACATTTTTTCTACTAAATCGTGACACCATATCTACAGTTGTCAAAACTAGCAACACGCATGGAGCATGTCAACAATATCCACAAGCCACTGTAGTGATTACACATTTTAGAGCCAAATTACAAATCCTTGCCCCAACACCTCAACTGCTTTACATTTACTTTCAAACTAGCTTTGTTTCACTTAATGTTTTATAATGCCGTCTCGTTTCAAATATGCTTTTCAATAGTGGAAGATATTATTATACTCATGAAGGACGAGTATAAAAGTTGAAGGCTGTGTATATTAACAAATATAGCACATATACAACATTTTATTGTTGGACCAAGGTTCTACAGTTATCGTTTAAACATTTGCAGATACTCTTTTTTTTTTTTTTTTTTTACTTCACCTCATTTCTACATTGACAGAGACTCTTTGCAAGCCAAATGAAACCTGCTGCTCTTTCTACCTCACACGGTCTCACGTTAAAGACTGACAGTGCCTTCAATAAACATGCCAAACACCAGATCTGCCCTCTCTTTTTTCTCATGCTGGATGCGTACTTTAAAACATGCCATTGTGTGGCATTCGGTTTTTTTTCTGCAAAGTCAATATTAACATATTACATTGCACACTCGTCTCTTCAACTTCGTTATACTATTATTAGGGATTTTCTGTTTTCGGGATGACAGCTTTTCAGTGTCGGCTGATTTATAGAACCAAAACAACAAAAGTCAGACTCATGGAGGACGAAGAGGAGCCAATCCAACACCACGATCACCATATTCTCATAACATCTATGACACACGGCTCCCACCAACTACCCTAAAGCTTACCACAAACATCTTTATTCAAACTTCTAATGAATATATGTGAATACACTTGTATTCAACTGAACTGACAAGAAGCATTCTATCTTTGTGGTATGTCCCTCATTGGTAACAGGACAACTATTTGCCGTGTCAGTTTTGTACACATTCAAATACACGCTCATCATACTGAAAACGGTCTTTTCATTCTAACCCTGATTTTACTGCATTGTTCTAATGATTCTGATACTGGTTTGGCTTTACCTCGCTCGTTCTGAACCGGAGCGCTCTCATTTTCAACATCTCGTCCTCTGAATTCAGCCCCAAGGTCTTCCCATCTATGCATTCAGAAAAACACAACAGTGAGGAATATACAACACTAGTACCGTTTTCTGCATCAAATCAGTACTTTTCAATTAATTGGTCAAGTCAGTCATTTCTTTACACCATTTTAAACAGTCATCACCATGTGCTGGCATACCTTTCTTTTTACACGCACACCAAATATCAGGGAAACATTCACATTCCCAAAAATTCCTTGTAATAATCCAGTGACATTTTGGTTTGCACAAGGAGTCTGACAGCAGACAGTGCTCCACACAGAACCAACTGACACAGACTAAATCCAGAAGAACTGTGGCAACATCTCCAAGATGCTTCAAGCAATCGTCCTGCAAAGCTACAGTACTGTTCAAACTGTAAGGCACTCGTGTCAAAATGCTGTACAGTGAGAATGCCGTCCAAAAATATTTCAGTAATGAGTAATACCTTTTACTTATCAATTCACTTCTATTAACTGATCACCCCTTGCGTTTTGCACCTTTTGTCCGAGGTATACTTCATTTTTCAGGTAGCTTTCTCAAGTGTCTTGGAGACGTTGCCACGGTTCTACATTCCACACAAACCTCACTGCATTATTGCCATTAATGGCAACAGGAACGTTTTCAAATGTCAACTGATATATACACGCACTACAGCAAAAGATAGGCCATATTTTCACTGAAAACAAATCGTTTCAAGTCACTTATTTCAAACACTTTTGCACAGTACTGTTAACAAAAACAACATTGAATTAATACATTTCTCTTCAAAATAAACCACCAAATCAAGGGACTTTTGCCTAGCTAACTGGACATGACCTCCTATATACTATTTTATCATTTACATTATATTACAAACCACCATACAAGCAACGATATTGTTCTTTTCCCAATATCAGCATAGATCGGTATGCCTTAGGTAAACATTTGGAGAGCCATTTTTATACAAAGCCAAAAACGGAGCACAACTCCCCACAAAGTATTTACTTTACATATTTCAAAACTATAATTACAAACATTTACAACTACAGGTACGTACTCTATGGACATTACCCACACTTTCCTTTCTAACGCTCATGTAAACACTTACTTTCAACCACCATGCTCGGCACATCCACACTTCCAAACAAACGGACACATACATATGCTAATGGACCATGTGGTGCTCCTTTTGTATACCGCTTCTCTTGTAACGCTGGAGAGCAACATGATGTATTTCACTCCTACAAAGTGGAACAATTTCAACAGTTTAATTGTGTAACAAATCATTCAAACTTAACACACACATCACTTCAATTACATTCATTCATTTACTTTTTCAATCTCTATAATAGAGGTCTATAATACAATGTCTAATATATGGACTTACTCATGGCCCTCTTTACAAAAAAAACTATATAGGTAGGCATTTAGGGTCCCGCTATTTAAGCTGGGGACACACTACAACACTAGCTGCTCCCGCCCCACCAAAGACAACACCGGTGCTTTTATTTGAAACCTATTTTACCCATTAAAACGTTAAGGTTTCTTTGACTTTTCTCAGTTTGTGCTTAACAGAAAACATTAGCTTTCCTTCTACGTTCTTGTTTCTAATAAATGTCACAGCAATGTGTCTTCCATATGTTTTGCATTAAATCTGATGCTTCTCTTTCTTTTTCAAATTATTGCCCGAGTACACACATTTCATTATGTATTTTCAAATGCCTAGGTCCAGGTTTAATTCCCTTAATTATAACATTTCTAGCGCTATTTCTTAAACGTGTATTCAAGCAATAATATATTAATTTATTTATTAAACAATCCATATCCTGTCTCATGTAATCTCTCAATCGGCGTTTCAGCTGCGCAAACACGTCATAACGGCTTGTAAACAATGTCACGTATAACGTCACATTTACCTCACAAAAACATATTCAGCGACCATAAAATCATTAGTCGGATACAAAAATAAACTGTACAGAGGGGCATTTTGCTAAATATATGCACCATATAACATATTCATTATCATTTTTACTGTTCTTCAATGTTTCATTTACGGGACAAAATCCATCAGGTTTTTTTATGACAGCCACCATTATGCTTATATTAAAAAAAACCAAGTACAAATATTACGTCATTGTAGCTTTATTATTTTCAACACTATAGTATTACTTTTATAGTCATTACAGTCATTTATAGTAATTATAGTAGCAACTGACTCTCGTGTATATTTTACAGCATTAGTTGACAGATTTTTTTGCCTTGACAATTTAACATGTACTGTACCCGATATCCAAAATAATCCATATTCAATCAAATCCAATTGGTCATCACAAGCTTGTGAACGACAATCGAATCGAATCGTGACATTTGTGACAAAACCCAGCCCTACTGTACATTTATTATGTATATATAAATACACACACATAGTATATATTTTGAAAATGTTTACATGTATATATTTATATTCATACATTTTTTATTATATATATAAATACATCAACTTCACATTTTTCTTCACACAAAATGGGTGTGTATTTATGTATACACATAATAACTATACTCATTACAGACACACACATACCATGTAAACACAACCTTTTATTTTCCATGCCATTAATCACAATTCATCATTTGACAGCACTAGTTCCAAGTAAAAATGGAAAGCTATTTTGTTTCCCTATATTTCCCCAGTTACCCATTACAACTAAATAAATGGTTAATACATTCAAGCCACTGTCATTTCCTCATCCATCTGATACAAAACTAATATATATATATATATATATATATATAAAAATTTATTTCTTT